CCGATGAGGATCCCCGGGCCTGGGGGGTGAAGTGCTTTCCCTGCTGACACCTGCCTGCTGCGGGCATGGCTCTGACAGAGGCTGTCTTCCTGGACGTCACCACCTGTGTGTGTTTGTGGGAATGGATTCAAATGAGAAGAAAGAAGGCGCAGCTCAACTCGATGGCAGTCTCCTCTACCCACCAAAGCAAAATGCATGCCCAGAGTGACTACATTGTACCCTCAACAAGGACTACTGTATGGAGGGAACAGAAATTATTTCTGTTTGTTCTTTGTCCCTTTTCTATTTTAATTGTCATGGACTTGCAGAGTGGCTTTAGGTTTAATTAAAGAAATGAATTTGGAATGTTCATTTCATCTCTAATTTTTCGTCGTATAATTTTCATGCAAAGAATGGAGATAGCTTCTGACTTTCATCAGCTGCTTAAATACTCATTTATTAGTCTGATTATTTGAGTACCTACTAAGGATACGGATTTGATTCTAGTTTCCATGGTAAATACAGTGCAAAGCTGTGTGACAAGTACCAAATGAACAGATGGACAGTAAGTATAGCTGTGTTCCAACAGCTCTTTTTCACAAACTGTATGACCAGAAGTAGAAATAATCCTTAAATCTATTCCCAGACACCAGAAAGTTTTCATACACACGAATACCTTAGCATGTGCCACAATTACTCGCACGTGCCAGGGGATCAGCACACGTCTCAGGACTCAGCTGAGGCTAAACATGGGAGAGAAGGTCCCAGTGGGGCTGAGCAGAGGGCAGGGAAGGCAGCAGGAGCTGAGTCACGTGGAGGCGAAGGCAGAGCTGACAATGATCAGACGGGAAGGGGAGCCAGGGCGCGGAGGGAAGGACTGGTGTCAGTCGGCATCCGTGTCTGGTGAGGGAGGTCAGTTTCCAGATAGCGGGCCAGCTTCTGGAAGGCACAGGTACCAGCCTCCTCAGAGGCTCTAGGGACGGGGCTCCAGCATGAGCCCCTAAAGACACGGGTTGTGGGCGAGAGAAGCCCGAGCTTCGCACTTCAAATGACTGACGAGACAGCTTTCTCGGGCGTTGGTGTGGGGCTCTCTGTGGAGTGGGCCCAATGAAATGTTAGGTTTTGACTGTTCGCACCCGACCTGGTATCTGTCCACCTCTTGCAGACGACTAGAATTATAAGTAGGAAACCCACAGACAGCTTTAAATTCCGATACTGTCGCTGTAACAACAGACGGGTACAAATGAGCTCCAGTTGCAATGTCATTAGCCAGTAAAGGCGTGTGGCGGATGGATCATTACGCTTTTCTGGGCGTGTCGGTGTCATTCCCCACAGATCTTTGGCAAGGGGAGGGCCAGAGGGCCTGGTGACGGGAAAGGGTACAGATCGCAACCAGGAGGACAAATGGTCCCTTCCTCACAGCTGTGACCTGGGCACCTAAAATTGGGAGCTAAAATACTTGCTCATGCCGAAACCGGTTTGGCTCAGTGGATAGAGCATTGGCCTGCGGACTGAAGGGTCCCAGGTTCGATTCCGGTCAAGGGCATGTACCTGGGTTGCGGGCACATCCCCAGTGGGAGGTGTGCAGGAGGCAGCTGATCGATGTTTCTCTCTCATTGATGTTTCTAACTCTCCATCTCCCTTCCTCTCTGTAAAAAAATCAATAAAATATATTTTAAAAAAACTTGCTCACAGACTGTACAGACGGCTTTGGTTTTATGAAGTTTCTGTTTTATTTTTGTCTTTTTAAACTAGGAACGTTCTCTGGGAATTTAACTGAGATATCAGAAACATTAGTTCTGTTCTTTATTTTCAGCATCTGCCCATGTCTTGATGTGGTACATGCAAATACAATTTATGAACTACAAGTTCCATTGCATTTTTTAAAAGTGTAAACTTTTATTTTTTAATTACAGTTGACATTCAGTATTATATTAGTTTCAGGCGTAAAGTCTACTGCATTTGAAAGACTAATCTACATAAGTAGAATTTTTAAAAACTTAAAAAATGTCCAGTAAAATTGCTTTAACAGTTTTTGAGGAGTAAATGTTTTGGTGCAAAAATACTTACTCCAAACTGTCCTTGCATTGAACACAGATTCTGCCTTGATTCATGAAGGATCTGCTGAAGTGGGAATAGATTCAGAGACTATCAGGTCTGTAGGTTTAATACAGGGTGTCCAAAAAATGTATACCCACTTTGAATGATTATAAAAGCAGTGTTTATTAACAAACAGTTCATCTTCAAAATTTAAAAAGAATCTACAGAAATGCCTGGCCAGCGTGACTCAGTGGTTGAGTGTTGACCCAGGAACCAAGAGGTCATGGTTCCATTCCTGGGCAGGGCACATTCCTGGGTTGCGGGCTCAATCCCCAATAGGGGGCGTGCAGGAGGCAGCTGATTGATGATGTTTCTCTCTCATCGATGTTTCTTTTTGTTGTTAATCTCACTGGAGGATATTTTTCCGTTGATTTTTAGAGAGAATTTAGGAAGAGAGAAGGAGAGAGAAACATCAATGTGAGAGAGGCACATCAATTGGTTGCCTCCACACACTCCCCAACCAGGGTGGGGGATCTGGCCTGCAACTGAGGTTTGTGCCCTTGACTGGACTTGAACCCATGACCCTTCAGTCCTAGGACTGAGGCTCTATCCACAGAGCCATACCGGCTAGGGCTGTCATTGATGTCTCTATCTCTATCCCTCTTACTTCCTCTCTCTCTGAAAATCAATACAAAAATATTTAAACGAATTTACAGAAATGAATAATTTTTTTGTCAGTGTCTATTTTCAAACTGATGACCATTCTGGTCCAGGCACTGCTGATAACTGGAAGCAATGGAATCGCAAACATCAAGAATCATTTCGTTCGATATTTGTGCACCCTCAATTCATCAACTGTTGCCAGTTTTGTACCTTAAACTTTATATTTTATGTATCCCCATAAAAAAAAAGTCTAGTGGCACTTAAGGATAAGTTTTCTTTGTTCAAAGCTTAGCCTGGTTTCACCCATTATTTCAAATCAGTTAAACCTGAAAACAAGTGAAAATTAAGTGAGTTATCAGCTGTTAAAGTATAGGTATGCTTTTTGGGGACACCCTATAGTAGACAGTCACAGTGGATTTGTTCTTTTCTTTTTTCTGCTTAGAATCTGAGCCCCCTCTTGTTTGGGAATACATCATTATGGGAGTATGTGGGGTGTAAGTCCTCACTAGAAAACCCCAATACTTTTCCTTATTCCCAGCGGGCAAGGCACAGGCCTCTGACCTCGGTTGGGCAGTGGGATGACATGCCCTTAGCTGTGACGAGGCAGGGGTGTTACAGAGTTAGTGCCCGGGGCCTCCCAGTGCCCCATGGTGCCCAGCAGCAGGGACAGGCTGTCCCTTGGCCATCCATCTGGCCACCCACTTTCCCTCGGTTCCCAAGCTCCCCGGTTACCATCCAGAAAATTGTTTTTCTACTTAAGGATTCCAAAACCAGTTTCAGATTTTGCCTAACAGATGCACTCTCTCCAGAGTTGTAGGAAATCTATAGCCACCTCAGGATACGGCCAGCTAGTTTCTGGGCTCTGCGGTTGTCTAAGTTTGCTCAGGGGCTGCCGGGGTGAGCCGCAGGAGGAGAGGGTGGAGCCGGTGACTGGCTGGATTGCTCCCCTTCGCCTGCTCCAGGCCCAGCACCCAGCAAACGTGGCCAATAAATACTCGTTTGATTTTGACGTGGCTCACCCACCTACCTGCAGGCCCCCTCAATATCTATTTTATATTTTTGGGTCGTGACTGTTTCTAGTGTAGATTTTCCTTAGGAAAAAAGAAAACTAAAAAAGGTGTAAGTTTTTAAATGCAAGGGAAGAGGAGGCTGTTTTTTCCTTAGCAGAAACCAGAAAATGAGGAAGAGATCGGGTTTCTGCTGTGAGCCGCTGGAGCTGTAGAATGCCGGGGCTGGGGCATTTTCGTAACTACAGGTTGGGCAGGTTGTGTCACTCACGAGGTAGCCAGGTTCTGTTTGAAAGAACAGGCCCTCCTCCTGGACTTTGATCCAGCAAAACAACTCGCCTCAGCCTCCGCCCGGCATCGGGACGCCTCTCCCAGGAACGTTCTCTCGTTGTCTCTGATGCGTTCGCATATGTGATTGATTTAAGCTTTCAAAATGATTAGACGACTTCTGATTGTCTTGCTTTTTGTGACACTGGGAGAAGCAAGGACGCCATTTCTCAGTTTTCTGAGTACAGCGAGGACTGAAATACTGCTCTTCACAAAGACCGAAGAAACCGTCCTAGTCCGATCCACTTACAGAGATAAGCGGCCCAGCGCCAGCTTCCTCTCTGTGCGGCTCCAAGACCCTGAGATGCTGCAGGTGGTGAACCTGACCAGGGCCACCTCCGGTGCCACAACCTTCATCATAAAACTAGTGGCGGAGGAAGAAGGAGAGACCAACCTGACCATTCAACTGTGGGACTCTGAAGGTAGGCCGGAGAGACTCATTGAAGAAATAAAGAATGTCAGAGTCAAAGTGCTCAAACGGAGGCCGGACAGCCTTTTCCAGGCATCCACGCACATGGACAGAACTATCCTTCTGCTGATTCTGCCAATGATCCTGTTAAATAAGTGCGCATTCGGCTGCAAGATTGAATTGCAGGTGTTCCGCGTAGTATGGAAGAGACCTTTGCCAATAATTTTGGTGGCAGCTACACAGTTTTTTCTGATGCCGTTTTGTGGATTTCTTTTGACTCAGGTTTTGGCATTGCCCGAGGCACTGGCTTTTGGGTTTGTAATGACTTGCACGTGCCCAGGAGGGGGTGGGGGCTATCTCTTTGCTCTGCTTCTAGAAGGAGACATCACTTTGGCCATTTTGATGACCTGCACATCAACGGTATTGGCTCTGGTAATGATGCCTGCCAATTCCTACCTGTACAGTAGGATCTTAGGGCTCTCCGGTACCTTCCATGTTCCTGTTTCGAAAATTATGTCAACACTCCTCTTCATACTTGTACCTATATCAGCTGGAATAGTCATCAAGCATAGAACACCTGAAAAAGCAAGCATCCTGGAGAGAATCATTAGACCTCTGAGTTTTATTTTAATGTCTGTGGGGATTTATTTGATGTTCAGGATGGGATTGGTGTTTCTAAGAACAGATAGCCCAGAGGTGCTTCTGTTGGGTGTCTTAGTTCCTGCTCTGGGTTTGCTGTTCGGGTACTGCTCTGCTAAAAGCTGCAGGATGCCTCCCGCTGTGTGCAAGACTGTGGCTATCGAAAGCGGGGCCCTGAACAGCTTCTTGGCTCTGGCCATCATCCAGCTCGCCCTCCCCGAGTCCCAGGCCGACGCAGCTTCCGTGGCTCCCTTCACGGTGGCGCTGTGCTCTGGGTGTGACCTGCTGCTGATTCTCCTGTTGTACAAGGTGAAGAAGAGGTGTGTCCTGATCACAAGAGAGGAAAGGAAACATCCTCCCCGCTCTAGCAATCAAAGCACGGCAGCATGCCCGCTCTGAGACCCTGTGGGGCATCGGAGGGTATCTACAGCGATGCTGCTCTCAGCCCCCTTCCGATCTGATTGAAAACTTGGCCCTGGGGGAGGCGTACGCATTATAATATATCCATCATCATAGCATACATTCTCACACAGGGGCTCGGGAGGAGGCCACTGTGCTGTGTTGGTCTGGAAATGCTTTATAGAGTGGGATTTGATTATGACACTTCATTACGGTCTCTTAATTGGGAAAGAGCAATTTAAAAACACCTCCTGCAGTGCTTCTGAGAATATCCCACTTTTTACAGGAGGGGCACTCCCTACAGTCTCATAGTATTGGTTAATTAGTTTGCCAGCTGATAAGATAACCAAAGTTCTTTTTTTCTAATTTTACCAAATTCGGTATATGAATACCAAGATTTATAAAAGATGGGCTTCAGCCTGGTGGTGGCTCATTATTATTCCCTTTATAAAATGACTAGAGGCCTGGTGCATGAAATTCGTGCACTGGTAGGGTGCCTAGGCCTGGCCAGCGATCAGGGCGGATCAGGTTCCCTCCTCCCTACCTCCTCCTTCCCTTGCTCCCTCAGCATCCACTGCTGCTGGTTACCCACCATGTTCCACATCGCCCCCTCGTGGTCAGCACACATCATAGCAAGAAACTGAACTCCAGTTCTCCAGGTTGAATTCCTGAGGGGACTCTTAGCCTTTTATGTATATAGATAATTGCCCTCATGGAATCTTTTACTGCTGAGTCCTTTCAACAGAAACCTCCATTTAGGAGTAGAAAGTATAATTGAATTTGCACCAGTTTCACTCATACGCATTTCTATGAACATATTCTAGTGATTGGGAGATGAGAGACCAGCATCCTAGTTGCACTTTATCATTTACCTTGAGAGCTAGCAAGACACTCTCTGTACTTCAGTTTTCACATCTGTAAAATGAAAAGGTCAACTGAGGTGTAAGATTTTGCTCAACTCCTGAGTCTGCGGTTGGGGCATGAAACTCCAGGACCTAGCAGCACCACAGGGTGATGGGCGGAGAGAAGGTTCGGGCTGATGGAAGTAACCACACCCGACCGCTGTAGTGGAGGCAGCAATCAGCATTGGGCTTCTTGAGTGCAGGGACCCTGCATTCTCTGAATGCCTACGGTGTTTAGCACAATGCCTTGGATAGAGTAGATGCTCATTAAACATTTATTGGATTAACTAATCAGTAACATCTATAACGGTCAAGGTCATATGCTCCAAGCCAGACTGTGCCTGGGTCTCCCATTTCAGCTCTGTCATCTGTCAGCTGGATGATGTTGGTCAAATTACTTGATCTCTCTTTGCCTAAATTCATGTGGAATGTGGGGGTGATGATCATACCTACCTCATGCTGTTCTTGTGAGGATTGAATGAGTTAATAGGAGCAGGGTTCTCGGAGCCCAACACACAGGGGACTCCTCAGTACTGTTACTTTAGGCGTATCTGATTGGTCTTCCATGCTGAAAATGCATTCTCTGTACTTGGACTTGGAATCTATTTTATTTCTCTTATAGATGTGGAAAACAATTTATATATTAAAATTTATCTAATTTGGATTGGGATGAAATTCCTTTTTTTTAAGTTTCATCCCTTAAGAGGGATGATTCTGTGATACATTGTCCAAGCATAAATGTCTATGATATATATACTAGTGGCCCGGTGCATGGATTTGTGCACATTGAAAAGAAAATAATTAGAAGAAATATTTTAATATTGCTATTTGCCCTTTCTCTATAATGGAAGTGTCAGAGCCACCACTGGTCACCGTCTGCGGAGCGATAGGCAGGGTGATCAGGCCCCTGCCCGGCTTTCTTAGCACCTGGGAGCCGGGCAGCTGCCGCTGCTGCTGATCACCATCTGCGGGGCAATCAGGCCCCCTTCCCCCCACTCGCACCCGCCTTGGCCTGGCGCTGCCCACTCACCTGCTCCACCATCCCACCACGGTACTGCTCTCACTGGGGGCCCATTGGTTCTGGTATAACCTCCACTGCTGCCCACTGCCAGCACCGTGTTGCCAACTCCCGCCATGTTCCGCGCCACCCTCTGGTGGTCAGCGCACATCATAGTGAGTGGTCGAACTGCCGGTCGAGGGGGCAATTTGCATATTAAGTTTTTATTATATAGGATTCTCAGATCTGGGAAAGTTGTTGGCATTACAGGGCACATCAGGGCTTAACCGATATCTGCAGCTCCAAACTATTTTATGTCAAAACAGTAAGTGCTGTCAGCTACCCAGGAGACTCCACCTCAAGAACCTGCACATTGCCGTGTACTTTTTTAAAAAATATATTTTATTGATTTTTTTACAGAGAGGAAGGGAGAGGGATAGAGAGTTAGAAACATCGATGAGAGAGAAGCATCAATCAGCTGCCTCCTGCACACTCCCTACTGGGGATGTGCCTGCAACCAAGGTACATGCCCTTGACCGGAATTGAACCCAGGACTCCTCAGTCCCCAGGCCGAAGCTCTATCTAGTGAGCCAAATCGGCGAGGGCGCTGTGTACTTTTTTAAAAAAATCAGTTCCCCTGCCCTAACCGGTTTGGCTCAGTGGATAGAGCGTCGGCCTGCGGACTCCAGGGTCCCAGGTTCAATTCCAGTCAAGGGCATGTACCTTGGTTGTGGGCACATCTCTAATAGGGGGTGTGCAGGAGGCAGCTGATCGATGTTTCTAACTCTCTATCCCTCTCCCTTCCTCTCTGTAAAAAATCAATAAAATATATTAAAAAAAAATTAGTCCCCTAAACAACTCTTACCCAAGAAAGTCTTGTGATGTGAGCCTGATTTTTTTTTTTTTTTTAGTGAGAGGAGTTGCCATTTACAAGCAGTCATCTCTTGGGAGTAAGTAGGCTTAGCAAGATACCCAGATCCAAATGCAGGGCAGTTGGGCCCCTTTTGCCCTTGCAGAAGCCTGGCACGAGCTCTGGCTGACAGAGGCCATCCTCCCCAGAAGCCCCTCGGGTGGGCAGGCGGGCGTACAGTCAGGTGTCTGGGGAGGAGCCAGGGCTTCAGATCTCTCCTCTCTTCCATTTGGGGATTAGCATCATTAGCACCTCTCTCAGGGATGAAGTCCCCGAGGGACTCCCGGTTAGTGAAATGTGGGCCTGTGACTTGGGCTGCACACTGGGGGGCGTTTATTCTCTCCCTGTGTGGCTCAGGCTGAGCCTGGCCCCTCCCTACCTCCCAACCACCTCGGCCTGATTGGGAGGAAAGACTGCAAATGCAGTTTAAAAATTGCCCCTTTGAGAACTCAGGAGCGATGCACTAGGTACTGAGGACCCTGCAGCCACCTGGACTCACAGACAAAAATCTTGGACTTTGTGGGACCAGTTTGCAATACATCCAAAGTGGGAGCCGCGCTGGACTGCCCTGTGCGCTGGAGGACTCCTCCTTTGCTTTCAGGCGGGCCTTTGGGCGCAGAACAGCCACTCTGGACTGAAAACCCGCAGTGACTTGTGAACAACTGAGAGGCAGTAGCGGAGGCTCCTAGGAAAAGGGTGGACCTCCTGCTCATTTGAGGAGGAAGCGTGAAGTGATTTTAATTTGAGAGAATAAGATATTTGATCTTCTACCTATGAGCGGAACCACGTTCGCTTAAAGGAGGTTTAAAGAGGATGCTGATGACATTTCTGCAAATGCCTGGAACGTTTTACTGGTTTATGAATCAACTCGTCACCATGCAGTTGACAAGTTTGTTTTAAGGTGTCTGACAACAAAGAACCAAAAAAGCTGATTTCTGAGGTTTTCTTTTTTATTAAGAACATATAAGCATGTTTTGCTAGACAAATCGAGGTATCCAGTTCAGATACTTCAGGCACTTTTAGAAGAATAAAACAAAGTTCTGGCTCTGTGTGAGGTTTGAGAATTGGTCACACATCTAAGAGCTCTGCACCTGCAGCGTGTGGTGACAACACCTTGCCTTTCGGTGAAAGAAAGCCAGCGAGCTCTTCACAAGCACGGAGCCAGGTAACCTACTTTCTTGTTCCTGATGAGGCTGGGATGTCTCAGATCTGCGCGTTGCTTTTCCCTCTACAACCGGAGACTGCATATCCCACACGGCCAGACCTGTTATTTGAGGACCTCAAGGATCCCAGACTAGTCTTGTGTCTCACAGAGCGCAGCCTCGCTGTGCCAGGGAGTCCCGGAGTGTGGCCTCTGGGTCCGTGTGTCCCACTCTGCCTTTGCTGTGTGACTGAAGACAGGTGACTTCTCTGGGCCTACGTTTCCTCAACTGTATGGAAGTCATATCTTCGTCCTGAAACTGTTGCAATGTTTGAGTAAAAGAATGCATATAAAAATGCAAGTGTCTGAAGCATGGTAAGTCCTCACTAAATGGTAATGTTCACATAAAAACATTCAAACCTGTAAAAAAATTTTTGTGAGTTTATTTGAGCCAAACTGTTGACAATTGCCGGGAAGCAGAACCTCAACGGTTTGAGATAATGCTCCAGAGAATGGTGGTTTCTCATCTATTTTTATACATTGCAATCAAAGGAGGGATGTGGGTGGGTTACATGAAACCCACTGGTGATAGATTAGAGAGATGGGACAAAGCAAAGCAGGGGCTGGGGGGAACCCCTGGGATTGGATAAAAAGTAAAATGATAGACACATGCTTAGGTGGGGGTAGGATCAATTAACATGATAATGAAGGAATCTGTGGTCTCTGTCCTGGCGCCCAGCACATTAGGTTGTGCCCCAAGGGGTCCTGAAAAAGGGAGGTTACAAGTTACCCAGACATTTCAAGGGTGTGTTATCATAGATGCAAAAAGACAATAGGCTCAGTGAAGGTAAAGGTTGACCTTGTCAGTGAAGATACTGGCCTAGGACGTAACTACCCACCACCACTGCTTTTAGTTGAAGTTTAATTTCAGACCATCCTTTGTGGTGACTTTAGATCTGAGTTTGCAAGACTGCCCTGCAGGCCTTCCCTGAGCTGTCAGGTCAGCGTGTGGCCAAGTGAATTATTGAGAATAGGGGCAGTTGGTGTGGCCCTCACTCACCAGTCTTCCTATCTATATATAGATCTGATTTGTAAGGTGTATATAATTTACATGGTTTACATATAATTTATATGCTGTATAAATAATTCATATCATATACTGGTGTATTTATTTATATTTACTCCCTAGTATAGGTTTAACAAGTTGCGAGGTACCTGCCATTTGTGTTTTGTCAGAAGTAGTCTGGAATAAGAGAAAGGGGTAAAAAAGAGAAATGGGGAAGGGAAGGAATGGAAGAAGGGCAGTGCAGCATAAAGAGGAAAGGAATTAAAAAACAAAAACAAAAAATACCAGAAGAAAGTGCAGGCAGGACGCTCTGAATCAGAACCAGAGATGAGAGCAGAGCCAGGCAGGAGGGGAAGCCTGAGGCCCCGCCCTGACACGGCGGGCG